CTCTTCCATCACAACTATCTGCAAAATGCCAGGCAATTCACTCCAATCGTCCTCCATGGAAAGCTGATTGCCACCCCCCTCCTCTCTCGTTGGGTGGCACAGTTAGGCCACTTAATATCAATATTCTCTTTGTGGTGGGAGATGGGGGGCAATTGCCCTGACTGTCAGAATAATTGCACACAGATATCTGCACACATGCGTTGACTCGTGCATGCACACAAGCCTTGCACACTCACACACCGGAAAACCCAGTAACTGGGACATTACACAGGATACAAGAACAAGAACACACACCCACACACATATAACCCCACATTCATGGGAGAAATGGGCAGAATGGGGACACACAAAATGTGAGTCACACACATAATCGTATAGTAGGGTTAGTATGAGGAGACATAAAAAAAGCTTCAGCTCCATTCTGCTGGGTAGTGAGACACACTCATGCAGAAAGTAACTACCACTCAGTTAAGTGTGGCCTCCGGCCCATACCAGAAGTATGAGTGATAGAGGCGGACAGACAGGGACATGACACTATATCAGTTTTTCTTGTAGACGACAGAAGACTTTCAGATTCAATTGATGTTAAAAACTCTTTGCATTAGACACATGATTTCAATGATGGTGATTGTAGTATTGTACTCATGCTCGCGCTACACTATCGAGTCTAGGATGGAGTGTTGCATGCATTGAGGTAACTGAGACAATGTTACATATTGAATACCTGACATCAGTACCTGTAATGTAATGGTAACTACTGCAGACCCTTGTGAAGCCATTGTTTTTAACCTATATTCAGTGGCCACATAATTAGGGACGCGCTGAGGAGGCCTGATCAGAAAAATTTAATCGTAATTATAGTTAGCTGGTAAGTTTTTACTAGTCACAATGGTTTGCGTCACTACTATTAATAAAGAACATGACTAAAATCTGGGATTTTATTACTTATGTTGTTAGATCCCTACAATGTTGTATTTCCTTGTTTCATGCAGCATATTTGATTGGATTGGTTGGTAATGTGACCAGGCCTTGGCTCAGGATGTTCAGATATTATATGGATCAGTCCTATAACAGGCACATTACTGTACAATTGGCTACTAAGGCATCACAGTGAAAGTTCTTAAGGAAGCAGGCAGCACCACTTCATCACCATTTGTCCACTGTATATTTCAGGATTGGTCTTGTGAGTCAGTAGTTACCAGCCAAACATAATTATTTATTCAGAATGTTGTGATCACACTGAATTGCTCTGAGCAGCAATATATTATCTTCTCCTCTAATAAAACAAAAATCCCATGAAATGGACTTACAGATGAACCAATAACTAACTCTCCTATTTTCAAAATGAGAATGTTTACTGAAAATGGAGAACATGATAGATATTTTATGAATATAGCACAGAGTTCAATCATTCACTATTTTGCCTACACATAATATATTTATTCAACTATAAGGTTGAGTCCAGAATGGAGGCTCAAGTGGTTCCTGACTTTCTCTGTCCCTACACAGTGCAACCCGCATGGGTTGTAAAATACATGAATTATTGAATGGAGGTG